GTCGATTTTGCACTTACAAGACTCCTTACTGTAGAAATAACGATCCTCCGATTTCCAGACCATTTGTCGTGCAAAAGTCAATTAGGCGAAATCCACTGTCACATGCGACTCCTGGTCCGTGTTTTCGCCGCTCTTGAGGTCAACAGTTGTGATCGTTGCCCACCTGGGCGTTCTAATCGTCGACGACAACTGCCAAGCCATGTCGCGACAGCTGGTTGACAACAGCCGCTTGGAAATAGCCATCCAAGTGGTCTCTGTCCACTCGTCGGGGCGTGGGCAACGATGATAAGCTTGGCGTGCTTCCCAAAGGTTATCAATCGATCGGAAACTCACTGAGAGTAGAAGACAAAAGGACGACGATTCCAGCAGCGCAGGCCTTGTCGTTCCCGAACCACCACAGTGTCCATCCATTCTTAACATGCATCTGTTTCTTTCCCAGGAGTGTGGTTTCCAAAATCGCGATGACTTCAAGTTGGTGCTGGCATGCCGTTCGAACTCGTTCGTTCGGTTTTCCTTCTCTGTTCACGATTCGGAAGTTTCAGCATCCAATTCGGAACCGACCTTTCGTTTTTTTTGAGCGTTGAGATGGCAGAATTCTTGGTCGAAAATTGCTTTTACCACCGCTGACTCTCATCGCACAGTTCATTGTTCAGAGCGCGCTGGGGAAGCTACCGCCCGTCACGAATGGAAATACGGGGCACCCTTTAATAATCCCTCTGCCCTTATTTTAGTCAGAGTATTCTTCTCCGAGTCAGATTTGTAGTGAAAAAAACAAAGGAATCTTATTACGCCTATCATCATTCCTCATCTGCTGATTATTTAAGGGTTGCTGACAAATGTTCACAGACATCGTTGCGAAAAGAGATTACGCGGTACTTTATCTTTTTGTATGACCTTCCAGTTTGTCCATTTTTTACGATGTTGATGCAAAGTTGGGTTCATTGAAACGTTCCAATTTTCCCTTAACTTTTGAGTCTGTCTAGTATTTGAGGCCACAGACAGCAGTTGTGTCTGCGGTAAAAATATATCAAATAAGAAATTTAAGTCAATCCTGATATGTTTCGCTGTTTTGATTATTTTTCAGAAGATACATATTGCAAGAGAGCCCAGTTTGACGGTCAAGAGGCTACAATTTGGATCATGGATACCGTAAACCAAGTATGTCTAATTTTTAAAGTTACAAAATTTACTATAATCGGCAGAATACTAAGTGCCGCAATTGCAAGCACAACAAAAAACAGACACTGTAATGCAGATAGGTTAATCTACATAATAAAGTTGCAAACCAATGCCTATTTCTGTAAATCACCAACCTGCTCCAGTACATAGCGTGCTGTTGACAATCTTGTCGATTATACCATGAAGAAGGCCTAACAGAAAGCATGTGAATATAGTCTGAGGCAATGGCTACAGCTTTATTATCCTGGTAAACCTGGATAAATTTGCAGCATCGATACTTAATTAAGTGGTCACTTTGATGCATTCACATCATCAGAATCACTGTTTAAACAAAATGCTCATTCAATATGCAGTTGCTCAGCGCTAAGAAAAGGCATGTAATAATGGCGAATTTACTGGAATGTGCTGATAAATCCATATTACCAAATCAATAATTGGTAATACATACTACTCAAAGGGTTAAGGTTATAATTTCTTTCATTTCACGAAGTCAATTCTACTACGCGTTGTCATCTGGCTAAGATGTTCATTTCGAGGAGTTATGCTCGATTTTGCGGCGAATGATGAAGGGAACTGGAAACAGCCTGAAAGCTTCAGTCTTACACCGGACGATTGTAATTTTCTGAGGACTGAACTGAGTGTTCACCGTCGGCAAGAATGTTATCACCGAGTTTCACGGCACTTGTTACGACTGACTTGGCAAGTGGGTTTGTAATAATTTGTACATGAGATTCACAGGAGTTAAGGAGCAACTTCAACAAGCGACTTATATGGCCACATATGCGGCCCCTGAGGGCCATCGAAATAGGCAATGGTTGCGTAGAGAAGCAACGAATGACAGGCTTGTCTGAAAAACTACAGCGTCTCTTGTTTCACTTCAAGATGTCATTCTTCTGAGAGACGAAAGAACCCTTGT